CTACATGTGGGCGGGCCTGAGGAGGAGGAGTGGGTGGGAGAAACAATATTTTGAATTTGGACTGCAGTACCCATTTCAACCGCTAGCTGTCAATATTACATACTGCACCTTTAAAGCCATATCAGTTTAAACTTCTGATATACTGTTGTTTTGAATGGTTACATCAAGCATGTCTCGTGAGCACTAAACTAAGTTGTCTTTCGCAGCTTATTGCACTTAAACTGTCAAATACACAAAAGGTTATGTATATGAAGGTAAACAGCTGGGAAAGAAATCGCATATAAATATTTGATCTATGTATTAAAGTGACAGCAGTGTAATATAAGTGCGTACTGCTGTCTATGCTGTTAATATGAATCAGAAAATGAAATTTATCTCTGCTGTAGCGAGGAGATAAACATGGCTGTGTACAGCTCACTCAGGGGAGGAGCTAAGCTAATAAGTAGATATAGTTACCAGTTGTGGGCGGGGCATGTGCCTGTGTGATGTCACATTGGAGTACATTCCTGAATGCTTATTTTGAGACTTCCAATTTAAGGGGAAAATATTTTTAACACATAATAGAGTGGATGTGTACATACACTGTGGAAACATAATTATGTTCAAAAACAATATAAAAGTGAATTTTGCATAATAGATCTCCAACATGCTATACCAAAAATATTAAAAAAAAAAAAATTATGTTCAATGAAACACAAATGGCAGCAGATTTTTAATTCATTTTTATATCAATCTATAGAGAGACATACAACTGAAATACAATGAGACCAATATGCCACAAAAAAGTTTATGCAGCGAGAGTTCAGACAATGAAATCAGTGTTGGTAAAAATCACAAAACAAGGCACGAAAAAATAAAAAAAGTTTTGTGTTTGCAAAATATAGTGCAATAACAATGTAATTTAATAAAACTACTCAAAATATTCTATATTAAAGCCTTAAAATGTAAAAAATAAAGATTGAAATAAATTCAAAAAGTAAAAAAAATATTAACAGCAAACATGAATAATACCAACAGCACAGAAACACTTTGGCAGAATATATTATTTTACCATCAGAAATTATCATCAGAAAACAATGATAATATATTCCAAATAAATTAATTCATAGGCAATACTGTTATCTAAAATCTTATATACATTTTTACAAAGGTGTATCAAAAGTATTTGTATGAAAACATATTTACACTTCGCATTCCATAATCACATTGCACACAGATTTAACTTTCACACCACAAATACATGCATTCTGAACGCATATATTAACATCTACACACACTCAGGATATTTAATGCTCCTCTCTTATGAGGGAGTCTTCATTTGAAATCCTAGAGCGATGCTCTTTATTATTAATGAGGTAACATCTGATCCCAGAATCTGTGAATGAACAGCTGGTCTTCCTGACCACCCTAATGAGAAAAAAAAAGTCATTTTGTCTGACAATTTATTCAAAGGATAGGACACCCAAGACACCCTCATAATATAAAGTATAAGGAAAAAAAGCTTCAGCGAGTAAATCTCACGAAACATGCTCAGGTCATTATTTCCCCAAAATCAAAAGAAATAAATAAAAAAAATATATGTTGCATAAATAAAACAAGGTGTGCTTTTAGGACCAATAAGATTTGTAAAATGTATTGCAAGATGTAAATTGCAAGATGGCCCTGGTAATTCTCATTTCCTTACTATGAAAACAATGTTTTTTGTTTTTAATTTAGTAATATTTAAAATTTAATTATTTACATTTAGTAAAATTTATCATTTATAAAATATAAAAGAAATATATATATATATATATATATATATATATATATATATATATATATATATATATATATATATATATATATATATATATATATATATATATATATATATATATATATATATATATATATATATATATATTGAATATTACATTTCATATATTTGTTGTTTGTTATTTGTTTTTTTTAATGATCTATCTATCTATCTATCTATCTATATATATAGATATATATAATAGTAGTAGTAAGATAATTTAATAATATTAAAGAAATATTTCTTGAGCAGCAAATCAGCATAGTTGAATGATTTCTAAAGGATCATGTGACTCTGAAGACTGGAGTAATGATGCTGAAAATTCAGATTTGCATCACCGGAATAAATTACATTTTATAAAATATTAAAATAGAAAACAGTTATTTTCAATTGTAATGTTATTTCACAATATTACAGTTTTTACTGTATTTTTTGACCGAATAAATGCAGCCTTGGTGAACATAAGAAACCTCTTTCAACAGTAGTGTGTAAATACAGTACATATTTCCCCATTTCAAAAGGCTTTTCTTTGTGCAAAATATTTTTTCTTTCTTTTCATTCTGGGGTGAAATGTGACTTTGGCATGTTTGGTGACCTGGACAACAATACTACTATCCCAACATTTGCTGACAATGCAGCCCTCTAAAAAATCTGTCTCTTACCAAAGCCCCTCTTTATGCATCACATCTTATGTTAATCTACATAATGTATTTGCACGCAGGATGCATTTTATGTTTTCATCATTTTTTCTCGACAGTGAATGCATTGTACACATAATGTCCTATTTCAATTATCATTGCTAAACTGAAATCCCTCAATGCTGACACTCTCTATTCCATCTCCCTGAGACAAAACGAAACATTCCCACAGCACATGACAGAAGAATGCAGAGGTACCCCGTGTTAAAAACAACCGCACGAACAAATGTCCAGCATTTGGAATGTGTGGCCTTTGAGAGTGTCTTTAAAGGTCGATACGTCTATTACAGTGAGGCATGAGCCCTAAATCTGTCTGCACATATGCCAGTCCAAAACACTTTTTTCCAATGTTAACGTGATTCTAATGTGTTTAGACGTTAACATAGTGCTTATGTAACCTTTAGCTCAGCGCCTGTAGCTATGCTAGACCCTTGGGGCGACTATCAGCTTATGTTCTTCCTGTTTCTCCGCTCAGAAGACAAACAACAACAGGAAAGTGAATGTACTGTAAGTAGGCGGCAAACCCGTTCAGCATGCAACAACTCCAATAACAGAAACAGATGTGTGAAACTGTGACATTTCATAAATTCCCACTGGTTTACGCCTAGCGAAACGCAGCTCGGTGTGAACCACAAGAGACCCCATGGTGCAACGTTCTCGCGCTGACCCTCGGTAACATCTATTCCAACTTGGTGTGATTACGCTAGGGTTTGCTCCACTAACCAGGGTACTCTGCCAATTTCAGTGTCTTGCCAAGTTGTAGCTGCAGTGCGGTGGAGCCCCACAGAGACCCGTCCGCAGCCTCACCAGACAGTCGTGTAATTTCAAGGACAATGGCTTTTCATTTGCATGCGAGTGATGAATATAGAATGTCTCTCTATAGAGTAAACACACCTATAAAAATGGGATAATATTGATGAAACGGACAAAACATATCAAATTTGTGAATATTGTACTGATATCTTTCTTTGTTGGGTGGGTTCTAAGTTGAAAACCTAAAATGTGTTTCCTCAAAGTGAATAATGAACATCCTAGTGTTAAGTACTGTTAAATTCAACATGAAACAACATTTTCAGCCCATTTTACTCTTATAATGGCATATGCAATTTGAATATTTAATGAGGAAAAAGGGTGGGACTTGATTTCATGCATTGGGAATTTAATGGATCATGAAGAGCGGTCTCCATATTAAAGTTGTTAGTGCCATCAGCCAAAAACAAATGTTTCAGAATCAGAGCAAGTTTTTGAAGACAAATGTTTTTTTCTTTGGAATCATATGCACAGATGAATCGCGTACAGTATGACCAAACAAGTGAATAAGTCCATTTTGATTTCATGTTAACGCCACTTGTGTTATTATGTTTGTAATGAGGCAACTGGTCAAAGATTATTAAAATAAAACAGTTATACTGTATAATATGTGATACAGGTAAACAGTTTTAGAAATGTGGCTCATTTTTTTAAACTACTTGAACTGTTTATACATTTTATCATTATTAAACAATTAAAAATAAAAAGTCATGACACCAAAAAAGCACATCTTTTAAAGACTAATGAGGAGTTGTTGTGATGCAGGTTTAGTTATTTTAAATTGTGTCCATGTTGTTATGTGATTTGTGTTGTTACTTGTGACTATGCTTGGTTTTATGTAATTTTATTGTGATATTGTGAAGCACTTTGGGCAACATGGTGTTGCATTAAACTGTGCTATATAAATAAACAAACAAACAAACCAAGCAGTTAAAATCGCTTGTTTGCCCTTGAGCCATCAAAGATCTACATTTGGAAGTGTTACTTTGTAATTGTGTCTAATTTTTTTTGTTAAGCCTATTAAAAGGTACTTTATGATGTAATATATTTAATTGAAATGGTAATAAATTGATTTCTGTCATGACAACTCTCATGTATGTACATGACAATGTTAATGTATTTGGTCTTGGCGGAATAGATCTGCTACGCTGCTGCTGCGGCAGAGCAAGTACCGAGACTTGCTACTGCCCATACATCCAAAACATGCTGCTGTAAGCATGTAAGAAATACTGCTGCTGCACATATAACACATATGAATAACCCCCATCTAGCATACATGAATCACCCCGTAGCAGATCTATACAGGTGGAGCTGGGGAAGGTGGAGGGTTTCTAAAGCAAGCTGCAACTGTTACGGCAAGCACTAGTCATATATTTGAATGTTGAGCAGCGAGCTCATTGGCTACCGATACAGGAGAGAACCAATCAGCTGCCATGTGACAATGATGTCGACAGGTAAGATTGAGCTAGACCTATCGGACTGCACCATCTAGAGTTTCATGCCAGAACTCTGTATTAATTCTAATTAATTGGTTAATTAGGTAACTTTGAAAACATGCCTGATAACTAAATGAAACAAAGCCATGTTAGTAATAAGGATCAAAAATTTTCTTTTCTCTCTGCAGCTTTAGCTAAAGTGCTGGACATTTCAGTTTCAATATTTAAGTAGTAAATTTAATACCAGTTACAGTGCTAGATTTGTCTGTGATTATAAGATAAATATAAATAATGCAGGTCTGAAAAGGCTTGCCCTGGTGGTTCCAACCAGCAATAAAATTATGCTTAAAATGGATCAAATGAATATGGGTCTGAAATGTCTAAACCTTTTGTTTAGTAATCAATCCAGCGTTTGCACTCCAGCAGACTTCTAAACCTGGGCATGTTAAGAATGATTCAGCTCACTAAATGCCATTCAGTTCCTGCATAGCTTGGCAGCCACGTGTCAGTCCTGCTCCCTGCGGTCACAGTATTTCCAGAGTCGTCCTCCCTTTCACTTAGTACTAGAGATGGTGGGCTGCTCTGTGTACCAGTGTGTGGCAGGGTCTGGTAAACCGGTCCCCAGAGGCAGAGCGATGAATGGCGGGCACGTCCCTGTGCCGACTGGTGTCATGCTGACCACGGGCCCAGGGTAAGGGTGGTGATGGCCAGCGAGCCTGTCAGTCCGTCCGATGTGAATCTCATCCTCCTCCGTCTCTCCTGTGGTTTTGCGGTAGACGGGGTTGTCGAAGTTCATGCTTTTGGTGCTGTTCCTCCTCCAGTTGCGGTAAACGAGGTAAACGCCGGCACACACCACTCCAAAGACCACTGTGGCAACAATAGGAACTGCATGTGTTTAACATACAGCCGTGAGGGGACATGTTAACACACGCTTGACTGGAGGTGGAATGACTGACAAGACAGCCAGTGTGACAAACAAAAACAGATAGACGGACAGACAGATAGGCAGACAGACAGACAGACAGACAGACAGACAGATAGACAGACAGATAGATAGATAGATAGATAGATAGATAGATAGATAGATAGATAGACAGACGGACAGTCAGACCAATAGATAGACATACAGGCAGATAGATAGATAGATAGATAGACGGACAGACAGACAGACAGACAGATATCTAGATAGATAGAGGTAAACAAGTGTAGAATTAAAAGAATAATTCACACAAATATAGCAATTCTGTCATTTACTCACCTTTATGTTGTTCTAATCTCTTCCGTGGAATACAAATGGAGAAGCTTAGTGTAATGTTCATGCTACTCTGTTCCTCAGAAAAAACTCTTACATAACTTCAAAAGATTTGAAGTACAGTATAGTGCATGAGTCGGATGAGACGGATCACTTTTATGGTGCTTTTTGTTATTTTTAAGCTCTTGTAGACTTCAGGTGTGAAAAAGAGCAGGATGAACATTCTACCTAACATCTCCTTTTGTGTTCCACAGAAGTCAGTCAGTCATACCGATACGAAACAACATGAGGGCGAGTATTGTAAATGATGACAGAATTGTTATTATTGGTGAACTGTTCCTTTAAATTGGCTGGATTGAAACTAATGATAGTAAAAGAGAACGTGAATAGCAGATGAAAACTGAAACAGAGCAAAAAGGGTTGATAGGGAATGAAGAATAAGGAAGAAGGGCAAAAACTCCATACAAACTGATCAGAGAAAATTATTATATGGCTCTCAGAAATCTTTGTATGCTGCTAAAAACCTAACATAATAAAAATCAAATAAATCATAACATCTGCTCTCTCTGCAATGCAGCAGGCTTGATGTTAGTCAGTTTTGTTGTAATATTACCAAGGGAGTTTCTTTCTTGGCTCACAAACACAATAAAGTCGAATTAATCTAAAGTCATTCAGACAGCACACACACAAACTACATCTCCATTCAGCTGAGTCTGCTGCCCTGGGCTCTCTCACCTTGTAGTTAGAGCATCGGTGAGCAACACTGGTGTCAAAATGTGCTCAAAATAGCACAGAGCAGGACCTTAGCGGCCCCAGAGAGGCAGATGATGTACATACCTATGGGAATTACAACTCCAAGCACTGCCACTGTCAGATTACGGCCAAGGAGAAACAACTCATTGCCAGCTGGAGGAAAATAAAAGAGAGGAGCATCATTTACACCTTCAGATACACCTTTGTTTAACATGTCTAGTCAAACAAGTTGATGTGGCTGATTGACCCTTCTCTATGCTGCCCAAAACAAAGTGACCAACTGCAGTTTGGTGACTGTTACTAGCATTAGATAGTGCAAGCTTTCAGGCTTTCTCAGTATGACCAAATGGATGAAAAGTTTGGAGGGAGGAGTATACAGTAGTATACAGTAGTTTAGGCCACATTATCATCTAATGCAGGGGTGTCAAACTTAATTAGGGTTGAATCTAAACTCTGCAGGGCTCCGGCCCTCCAGAAATTGAGTTTGACACCCCTGATCTAAAGGAACATTACAGTATGTAAAAACTGTTAAAACATTTGTACCAATCTTTAAACGAACATTTTGAAATCCTGGTGAACTTCTGGAGCCAAGCCACATGAATTACCTGCATGAGTTGTTTATAGGTTTATCTTTATCTTAATGCATTTCTGATAGACAGCATTGTTGATATCACAAATCATTACCATATCAGTTATCGGTCGATTTTGAATATTTAATTGTGCAGCTCATTTACCCTATTTTTTTCATTTACATCACCTCTGGTATCATCCAGTGTTATTTCAGTATAATAAAGATACTATTATAATTTTTATTAAAATTTTAAATTATTTAAAATATATATTTTCTCTCTTTAATTTTAGTGAACATTTTAGTAATTATGTTGTTTGATTTTGACATTTTTATTAGTTTTGTAAATATGTCTACATTGTTTTTTTTTTATTAATTTTTTATTTCAGTTTTAGTTATTTTAGTATAAGTTGAACTAAATGAAAATGAGAAATGTTGTCTTGAGAAATAGCTGAAATAAAATAATTTGAAGTTTATGGGTTTAGTTAACTATAATAACCCTTCTATCATCTAAAACTCAAAGTTAATCTTTCAAAAAACAATTTAATAATACTGTTAAATGCAGAGGCGTATCAATAGAGCAGGCAAGGCAGGCAATTGAGGGGGCCCCCGACAGCTGACCATCTGAACAATCGAAAATGTCATTATTAATATAACGGAGCAATACATCTGCATCCCCCCTGGGGGCCCCCTCTCGCGTTACGCTAGATGTGCTTGCTTTTTCCTCGTGATGCATCGGCCGCCGTTTTCAAACTGGCACAGCTACTCGTGCATTTGCTAATTTAAACATGAAGAGGACTTATCTGTCTGGCAGCCAGAAGCGGAAAAAAGCAAGAAGAGGAAGAAAAGAGGAAACATGACAGCGGTAAATGGAGATAAGACTGACTTAAGGATAATTATATGACAAACAAATGTTTTTGTTGTTAATTCCAGCTTATTTTCATTTATTTATTTGCAAGATGAATTACTGGTAATAGTCCAATTACTAATAGGGTTACTGGGAAACAGATTAGCTAGGGTTGCACTTAGCAGCAGCATATTATAGGTGGTACTGGGAAAGATGCGCACATCACCAGCGACACCGCTTGGCAAGTTTCGGTACCAGGGATGCAAACTTGTCACCTTTCGGTGAAATTCACCGTTTTGAATTCAAAATGGGTCATTTGTGTGATTCGTGTAGATCCGCT